TGTATGAACAAAAGCAGTTGAAACATTCTTCAAAATATCTTCTTTTTGTGATCTACAGATAAAAGAAAGTCATACAGGTTTGGAATGACATGAGGTAAATGATGACAAAAAATGTCATTTTTAAAGACATACTGTAGTTCACCAAAAAATGAATTCTGCCATTATTTACTCAACATCATGTCATTCCAAAACCATAAGACTTCGGTTAATCTTCAAGACAAATTAGGATATTTTTTATGAAAACTGAGAGGTTTCTGTCCCTTTGTTGAACATAACCAAAAGATCCAAAAAGGTCAGAAAGGCATCGTAAAATGAATCCATATAAATTAAGCAGTTTGATCCAAGTTTTGTGAGATGATACAATGGCTTTATATGATTAACAAGTTTTTATTTAGGCTTTTATTCACATATCAACACACACACAGAGAGCGCTTCACAAATGACAAGCTAATATGTGCATCACACACTAAAACAAACATTATGTTTGATATTTCATGTTTGCCATGTAATGTGCACTATGTATTTTTCGATCATTGTTTAGATGTAAATAAAACCCTAAACTAAATCTGTTCATCGTGTAAAGCTGTTGTATCACTTCATAAGACAAGATAAAAAAAATACCATGGAAGTCAATGGGTACCAGAAACTCTTTGGTAAACCATATTCCTTAAAATATCTTATTTTGTGTTGAGCAGAAGAAAGAAACTCAGGTGAGTAAAGGATAACAGAATTTTTATTTTTGGGTGAACTATCCCTTTAAACCACTCTATTGATATGGATCCATTTTACGACGCCTTTATGACCTTTTTGGATCTTTTATATTTTGGTTACTTGGACTTTCAATGAAGGGAGAGAAACATCTCAGGTTTCATTAAAAATATCTTAATTTGTGTTTCGAATGTTACCCAAAGTATACTGTAGGTTTGGAATGACATTAGGGTGAGTAAATGATGGAATCTACATTTTTGGGTGAACTGTTCCTTTAAGGCTCAAGGTTATCTCCTTCCAAAGGAAGAGTGATTGAGACTGAATCTGAGTGGGCCGTATTTCATCTGTCTGATTTTGCCACGTCTGTGACAGTGAGCGATGCCCTCTGCCAGCTGTGTTTAAGCATGCACAAGCTGTCGCCAATCAGAGCAACTCCCTGTGTGTTTCAGAAGCAAGGTGACCGGCCTTGTTATTATCTCATCAACCAAAAGGACAAAAGACGACTGCATGGTTGCAGTCATCCATGCTTGCTGCAGTTGCCTTGGAAACCAGCTGCTCAGCAGGAATGTTGGAAGTAAGTACGAGCAGGGGGCCAGTGGGGTTACAGAAGGGGGCCCGCTTTACACCCCTTTTCAAAAATGGAGATTAAGCCCATTGAGAATGTAACGGTTCAGGAGACTGATCAGAGCCACAGGTCAACACAAACTGAGCTGTTTGTTTTGCAACTCTAGAGCTGACCGAGCAGTTTTCCAGCATGGAAAAGCCTCATGTTTGGAAAAGTGGAGTGGCTGGGAGAGGAAGCTGTTCTTAATTTGTAGGACCGGTTACTTCATGGCACGCTGCAAGTCAAGCATGCTTTTTCCACTGCATGAAACAGGCTAAACGGACGTCAATAAAGACCATTAGACTAATTCAAGTGATTTAACAGACTGGGAGAAGCTAAAGCAGACCAAGCGAGGTTTCTTATTTGCACCTAATCCCTGTAATTTTAAATCCATCAATCTAATTCATATTTCATGAGTTCCCCTCCATCTCAGGCCGCAGGGTTCAGAGATTGAGCAGGGATATGCATTTCCAGAACCCTCTCGAAAATAAATCAAACCGGCTATGAGCCTTATTCATGAAACCCGAGCTGAGCGAGTCATTCGTGAAACAATTCTTGCATAACCAGTTGTGTTCAATTCAGTGGGACAATTTACACTACCAAAAGTTTGAACAAAACTTTTAAACTTTCTATTCATCAAAGAATCAGCACAACTGTTTTCAACACTTCAAATCAGCGTGTTAGAAGGATCTCTGGAAACTGGAGTAATGCTGAAAATTCAGCTTTTCCATCACACGAATAAATTACATGTTAAAATATACTAATATTGAGAATGATTATTTTAAATTGTAATAAGATTTCACGATATTATTTTCTTTAACTGTATTTTTGATCAAATAAATGCAGCATTGGTAAGCATAAGAGACTTTTATAAAAATTAAAAAAAACTAATAAAAAAATTGTATCGACCCCAAATGCTTGAATTTGATGATTTGTGAACGACTTCCGCTGAAATTTCTTATGCTGGTGTTTAATAAATAAAGCTTTGTGTTCGGAATAGAACAGAATTCAGCCAACATTTCAAACAGTAGTATGCTACATTGATGTCACATGACTGTATCACATGACACATTTGATTTTTAGAAATACAAAATGGTTTCGTTTGAACAATGGGTCAAAAATGACATTGCAGATTATATTACTTCCAGTTTAATATAAACAGGGAAAAAGTTGAGCCAACTTGAGCACATTGTATTGTGGGATATGTGTGCTCTGTTGTATACTATGCATGATTTGACAAATGTAGTAGGTCATATGGTTATTCTTTGTGATGAATAAGTAATGCTAGAAGATAGTTTTCTCCAGTATATTAGACCTCTTTAAGTCATACTTCCATACTTTTGCATGCTCTGAAAAATACACATGCTGCACACTGCAGAAATAGTATTGGTAGTATGCTATTCTCATCTGCACAGCTCATAAGTCTCTATTTGGCCTTGACTTGAGAACTGGGGTATAAACCAATGCCTTACACAACACTTGATGATTAATGGTATTATAAAGATCGCTTGGTGCCTTAAAATACCCACCAAGTGACAAGAAGTGAAGTCTTATAAATCATCCTAAAACAGCATTGGCCGTTAGCCAAGACAAGAAATCAGTCTGTTCAGATGTCAGTGGTACATTAGGTTGGGTGGAGTGGTGTGGAAAACAAAAAGCTTTGACACTCAGAGACACAAAGATGGCAAGCAATAGCATGCGTAGCTGCAGGCGAGAGATGAAGACGGAGATTGCTCCGGGGAAGGAAATGAGGTGGTCAGAGACCACGCCACATGCTAATCCTCTATTTCCCGTCTCCGTGTCTGTCTCGCAGGCGAATGGGAACATATCTGGTACTCTTTCAGCACCAGCACTAGAGTGCTCCGGCCATGTTTTTTCAATTGTGCTGATGAGACCGGCTGGCTCCTAATAAACGTAGCCTTTGGTTTAAATGACAGGTCTAATTTCACATACTGTGATGAGAGACTGTGGAAAAGTGTGTCACAGCCTGAGACACGCGAAACAGTGCCTGAGTCATTCAGATCCTTCTAGATTAATTCCATTTCCTGTGAAGATTAAGTGTACCGCAGAGCTGATATCTGATTAGGGTACTTGGGGGAGTTGTTTATAATTAGTTTGGGTGTAATCTCATTTCACAGCACCTTGCGGGGAGGCAAATATTTTTTCGCAAATTTATCTGTTAATCAGGTTTGAAGATACCTGCTGGCTAGATAAAGCAAAGAATAGACCTGTTCTACATAACATCACTGAGGAATTGTGGGTAAATTATATTGCTCAACATTCTCTACATTATACAACATTATCCACTGTGAAATAGATAGTTGTAAAATCTATTTGGGTAAGTCACATTTTAAGTTGTCTTATTTTGTTTTGTTTTAATGACAAACTAGTCAAAACTAGATTTTCCAAGAAAAAACTGAGTGGTGCTTTCCCATGTAAAATCCATTGCCACAATGCTAGGTTGTTGTGGATATGTGGAAATATGATCATATTACCCCAATTTTACAGTCTCTGCACTGGCTATTAAGTTCCGTATCAGTTACAAAATATTATTACTTGCCTATAAGGCCCTTAATGGGTTAGCTCCTGCGTACCTTACTAGTCTTCTACCACGCTACAATCCATCACGCTCCCTAAGGTCGCAAAACTCTGGACTTTTGGTAGTACCTAGGATAGCAAAGTCCACTAAAAGAGCTATTTCGCATTTGGCTCCCAAACTCTGGAACAGCCTTCCTGATAACGTTCGGGGTTCAGACACACTCTCTCTGTTTAAATCTAGATTAAAGACACATCTCTTTGGCCAAGCATTCAAATAATGAATCTCATAATCTTGTACTGCAGTTATTATTAGCATTATTATTCTTTAGTTTGGGTTAAACAAATCAATCTTGCTTGATTGAAACAGCAGCTACGCTAATTATGTCTCTATTTGTTTCTCTGTTTCTGCTGGGATTGACATCCCGTGGTAACTAGGATTTACACAAGCTTCAGTCTGGATCCAGAACACCTGAGAAGAGATGATGCCAACCCCTCAGAGGACCTCAGATGATGCCAACCCTGAAACAACATACAGAACTACCACATTTTGCTATAAGTTTGATTGCATCATATAATAATTGCTGTTAATAGTGTTCATCGTCTGTTTGATTACATCTTTAATTGATTTTTCCGTACATTTCTGCCATATGTACATTAATTGACAGTCACCACTGATAAGCTACCACTAAATATTGTAGAAACTTAATTTGCTGTAAAGTTGCTTTGCAATGATTTGTATCGTGAAAAGCGCTGTACAAATAAACTTGACTTGACTTGACTTGTGGATGGTGGCATAAACTAAGTGGTTGCTAGGGCAGTTATTAGGGCATACTAGTTGGTTGCTAGGTGATTGCTTACTGGCCCAAGTAAAAAGAAACCACTCTCAAGTAGTAATCCTCGTTTATGGTGACTAACAAAGACTAACAAAGTTTTCTCATGACTTTATTTGTATATTTTTGAAACCGTATCCAGAATTGCAATTTGAATTTTATTGGAAGGACATAGAACACTACATCCGACCTTTGAATGGTGGCTTTGACAAAGTCTTGTTTGAAAGTTTTGAAATAAACAAAAGTCCTTGAGGTTTGAAAGTTTATAAGGCTTACAGACAGAGAGAACAATAGAACGATAGATAATGCATTGTTAATGCATTGTTAACTGTATTCTAGTCATGACTCTTCATTAAAGTCGCAGTTCCACACAGACCAATGTTTGACCATATGTAGAACTGTTCACCGGACAGATGGTTCCTCTTGTGTTTTTCACTTCCACACTCTTCCTTTAGCTCACGCACAGGTTAGAAGGAAAGACTCAAGCCTCAGACACACGCCAAATGAAACTCCACTGCCATAATATTTGTCTTGACACCCAAAGCTTCCTGAACTCTTTGTGAAGGAAGAGATTGGAGGTGTCATCTGTATGGCACATTAAAGACCTCTGGCTGTTTATTTGTTGTCAGATGGGAAGGCAGGGTGAGAAAAACCAGGCCTGTCCTGCTGTTCAGCACCACACAACCAAAGGGAAGTGAACCTTTCTTGGTGACCCCCCAACCAGGGCTCACTCAGGTTTTCCTGATTTATGGATGCTCCTGCACTGTTCAGTCACAACGAGGGTCTGTATTTGGGGCTCTGCAATGAGCAACAAACAACACAAAGAACAAGTTGTAAGTGAAGATGGTGAAGAGAAAAACACTTCATGAATGAGTTACATTTGCATATGTCTGGATACTTACTCATTCCAAGCAGCTAATGTTAATCATTTTTAAAGAGAATTATAATGCATAATCTCACTAATGGTTAGATCAAAGGTGGGCAAAAATGGCTCTACATTTACATTTTTTAATGCATTTTCATCACAACAATTATTTTCAAGATGGGTGAACAGTCAATAAACAAGCACAGTTGCCTCAATGAGGCAGCAGAAAATAAATGTGGATTATTATGTGGACACTGTTAAAACCATCTATTTGAGCTGTAATAACATGCCACTCATAGCTATTGCCTGGCAACATATCACTGTATGAATTTACAAAATGCTTGTTAGAAAGGGAAACATGGGCAATCACTCGGCATCTAAATGCAATGGCTTTGTTTAAAAAAAATAAAAAAGATTTTTGCTGAAATACGTTTAGTACTTTAAGGCAAAGACAAGCCAAATCTGATGTTGTGTAACATTTAATTAAAATTGTATTTTTGAAAATGTGTTTAGATTATCTAATCTGAAAGATCAGATAGTGAAAGTAATTTAGATGCAACCTATTTGTATCAACAAAGACAATGTCAATGGATTAAGGTTTAGCTGGTTAACATAGCCCAGTTAGTCCCTGCTGGTAGATGTTGTAACTACACCATCTGGACCCACAAGCCTAAAAGCTCTTTGTTACTTTAACTGGGTACTTCAAAAACACTTTGAGGAATCTACCTGCAGAGCAACATCATTTTATAATGATTGAACTACACTACCAGGAGTGGAGTTTGAACCCACGAGGACATTTGCCCATTGGATCTTAAGTCCAACGCCTTAACCACTCGGCCATCCTGGTCCCTATGTTAGGTTAATAACCTCTTTATGTGTTTCACAGGGCACTTCAGGAGCACTTAAACAGCAGAGTAGCATTACTGTATGAACCCACAAAGCATCTTTCTCCATGGAAGGCCATTTAAAGGTTGCTCTGTATGCTGACGGCATCACATGAGTTTTCTCTAGGTATTAAATGAAACCATTTTTACTCAAAGTGAATAGTAAATGAATGAGTGAGTGTACACAGCATATGCATGAATGTATAAAATGCAATGATCTTCCAAAATTTCCTAGTATTTTGTGAACTTTTTACACAATAAGGGAAAGTCTCTCAAGCTGATGCTTATGTCATTATTAGGGTAACCAACATACAGGATATTGACTACACAATATGAACGAATCTATTTGTTCTCATTGTTTACAAAATGAAAGTGTGGACAGCCAGTCCTAAAGATCGTATTTTAAAAAAAAAAATGGAATTGTGTTACAAAGTATTCAATGAATGACATTTAGAAAACACAACTATGGCATAATCTTTAATCGAACACCTGACTTAGGCAAAAATGATGCGACATTAGTCCTTAATGGAAAAATGTCCATGTGATATAATTTATTGTTTGTAAATCACATGAAATTGCTTTTGAATGCATTAGAAAGCAATGAAATGAATGCATTCATTAAATCGGCTCCAGTCTTGTGGGGATGGAAAGCACACATAAGTCAGTAACCATGGTTTCTGGTGGCTTAATATTGCAGGGGTGCCATAGCAACGGAGAGATCAACACTGACTCTGTGTGCTGTAAAGGGTGTGGATAGCATCTATATACAACCTGTCAGTCACTGGGCTGTCAGTCGCAGTTCCTCTCGCTTTCTGAAACGGCAGGTGTCCCTCCTGACATAGTTCTTATTAGCACTCATATAGTGAAGCGTTCATGTGAGTCGAGACCTGTTTCGTCAGACACACACAGCCGCTATACACATGGGAGAGCAGAGAAAGAGGTTTCTGAGGAAAAAACAAACATCCGGTTATTAAAATGACCTCGGCACACTTGCACATTTGACCTTCAAATTAATATTTTACCAATATTCTGTCTTCTGTGTGGAAAATCCTGATTTGATGTCTAGTTTAAACATCTCACGTCTAGCATTTTTTGTTGCTGCTGATGTTTGTTTCTGTATTATTTTTTCCCCTTTTTTAGCAGATGCTTTTATCTAAAGCAAGGGTGCCCAAACTCAGTCCTGGAGGGCCGTTGTCCTGCAGAGTTTAGCTCCAACTTGCCTCAACACACCTGCTGGGAAGTTTCTAGTATGCCTAGTAAGAGCTTGATTAGCTGGTTCAGGTGTGTCTAATTGGGGTTGGAGCTAAACTCTGCAGGACACCGGCCCTCCAGGACCGAGTTTGGGAACCCTTGATCTAAAGTATTTGCATTCCATTACCAGGAGTGGGGTTCACACCAATAAGAGCATTTGCTCATTGGATCGTAAGTCCAACACCTTAACCACTCAGCAACACTGGTGACTGCATTATGCTAAAATCCCTTTGTTTCTTATACAAGTATTTCAGAACCATTTTGTTATTAATTAGTAACTACCAGGAGTGGGGTTCAAACCCACGAGGACATGCGTCCATTGGATCTTAAGTCCAACGCCTTAACCACTCGGCCATCCTGGTCACTCTGTGGTGTTAAATACCCCTAACACAACCACATACAGCCGCAGTACTATATTCTATATAAAATGCACAGTGATCTACTAAGACATTTGTCCATTAGAACTTAAGTCCAACACCTTAACCACTTGGCCATCCTGGTTACTTTGTTGTTTTAAAAACCCCTTTGTTCCTTCTATAGGTACTTCATAACCAGTTTGTGGTAATGCAACCACATACAGTCACATTAATATATTCCATTTAAAAATCACATTGATCTACCAGAAATGGGGTTTGAACCCATGAGGACAACTGCATCCATTGGATTTGTCCAATGGAACCAGTTTGCTGATAACACAACCACATACAGCTGCATCACTATGTGGGGCAAATTTCTTATTGTTCTTATTGAAGAATTCAAGATGGCGCCAGGTTGTCTGCTGTCTTGTTGTCACTTTGCTGCTTTGCTGGCTTGCCATCGCCTCTCACCTATGTCAAGTGTTTTATATGTATTGTTATGGGCGATTTGGCTGTTAGCGGTAGAAACACCACTGTTCTTACTTATGATCGCCAAGCCCTTCTTGATTTACTTCTCTCTACCAGGGACTGCTGCAGACGTATCCCGATTTAGGACCATTTCTTTAACTCATGGATGTCTTCTACCTTTCCTGTGGTTACCTGTTGCTCTACGAGTTGCTATCTTCATCGTAAAAAGTGCCTGAGAAAACGAGGAAAGTGCAGCAGTCTTCTTGTTAGGCTAAAGAGATGCAGGTTTTCATCGACATGGTTTCTCTTTTTGGTCCGCATCTCTTTTTGGCCCTCTTAGCTCTTTTCACCTTATTTCTAGTTATTTGTGAAAATGTTCGTCCATACGCTAAAAATCTGGGTGTATTTTTTTTATTCAGAGTTGAATTTTGCAAAACAAGTTAATACTGTGGTGAAAACTAGTTTCTACTACTTATGGTTAATAACTAAGATAAAACCAGTGCTCTCATCTAGAGATTTGGAGATGATCATCCATGCTTTTATATCATCTAGATTGGACTATTGTAATGTTGTGTACAGGAGTTTCTCAGTCATTGGTGAATCGGTTGCAGCTTGCTCAAAACGCTGGTGCAAGACTGTTGACCGGTATGAGAAAGAGGGACAGAACCACTCCGATTTTAACATCCCTGCAATGGATCGATTTTAAATGGTCTCACGCCCTCGTATTTGTCAGATCTTGTTACTCTACATACTTTGAAGAAGCACTTTTATATCTTGGCTTTTGAGTCTGATTTAAGAGAGACCTAAATATCAGTTTTTTTTATGATGCTGTGTTTTGTTATTGTCTTTGTTTTGTTTTTTTATTGTATTGTACAGCACTTAGGGCTGCTCTTGTGGCAGTAGAAATGTGCTCTATAAGAAAATAAACTAAACTAAACTAAACTAAACTAAACTTCTTATTCATCCTCAATGCCGAATAAAAAGCATGGTGAGTCGTCCCCTTAAGAATCTTCCCCATTCGTGACATGACCGCGTTCGGCTTTGATCGCCTTCTGCACGGCTCACCAAGCAAACACTTTAATTAGTGCTTTATTGACTAATGCTTTTCTCTAGGCCCTGTGTCACTAGCTTTACCGGCCGCCGGCCTATTCTTTGTGGATTAACCTCTTTCTATGCGCAATTTAACCAGCTATTCTCCTGCACAGTAACGTGAACTGTTCTTCCAGGAGGTTTCGACACAAAAGCCCTTCAGAGCCCAGGCAGACCTCAAAGAGCCATCAACCCTCCATCTCCAGCTCTTCAAAGACTCCTTCATAATTCTGAATCCCTCTGTTCCTCCTCAGCCCCTCATTTAGGAGCAGGACCCCACCAGCCCTCACCTCCCCCACTGACCAACACACTTATCCCAGTGTCTCTTGGGAGCTTGGAGCTCATAAGTAAGACCTGGACAGCTGATAATGACTTTGCAGCTCTGGGGGAAGGAGAGTACTGCTGCGTTTTTGTGGTTATGGCGGTGGTGGTCTGTGTGTACATGCAGGGTCCAAAATCAATACTCACCACGCACTAGATGAGAGTAAAAAATGGCTTTTGGCAAATACAAAGGGAAATTATTTTTTAGAAATGCAATATCATAGTGGTAAAAACTGCAATGTAAGAACAACAGACTGAGCCTTTTTTGCACGCTTAAATGAAAAAAAGAGAGATGCAAACAGAAAAGTTGTTCATTCTCGAACCAATTTTACCATAAATTTCACTGCAAATCCAAAAGTTGTATTATTTTAGTTATTTATGTGTGTGTTACTCTAGAATTCCATGTGGAAACTTATTCCTGGTGTTGAAAACAAGAAACAAAATAAAAATAGGTCTTTTATGTTTTTGTGGGACTGATAGACTGGCATATAGGAGAGACCGGGGCTAGTTGTCACAATTTAATCCAACGAATATTTCTCAAAGTAAATTTCTGTTTTAGATGCACACTTTAAATTAATGGCCACAAAAAGCTACTGAACATTATTGCTTTTAACAGATACAGTTGATTGAACACACATTGACCTTTTGTGGCAAAATGTCTCAACAGCAGGGCAGTGATGTCACATTAATGGGTTATCATAGGTTTTTTTTTTTAATTATATCAATGAAATGAAGCCCTGAATGCTAAAACGTAAAAGGTAAAATCAAACTAAATTAGAAATATATGATATATTGTTATAAGCTTTTTTAGCTTGTTGACTGGTATGTTTATTGATGGTGTATAGCCTTTATTGGCAGACCAGACATGTCAAATAATTTTAATTGGGGGTGGAGGGATGTCTCCTCTGTTTCTTATCCTAACCCTGTTTCTGCCAAGCACACTTTTAAAAATAGTGGACACCTCCTTATGTGGAGTCCGAGCAGCCCTTTCATCTGAGAGCAGCTCTAATGATTCCTTGTAATGAGCAGACCTTTGCCATGCTAATGAGTGTTCAATTGTTCCTGCTTTTCCATGGCTTCTCCATCAGCAGGGGCAGCACTCTTGACTGGGGCTTCACCCTGTCCATCTCCTAAATAGCCTGCTGGATCTCAGCGAAAAGCGGCCAGTCACCTTTGAAGTGTGAACAGTCATTATCTTATCTGAGGGCTCTCGTTGGGTAATTGCGGTGGCTTTTTGGTGCGAATGATTTCTTGATATTGTAGACAAGTAAATCCCAGCATGAGCTTAATTTTTTTCTCTTATTTTTTTTTATTCTTTTGTCCATCATACCTGACAGGTCACGGGGGAAGTGCTCGCTTACTGCAGGGTACTGCAAATCAATATAACACACTAGTTGTTTTTCAATAAATGGCATGGGGATGGAGAAAGATGAGTTAGACAGGCAGAAGGGAACTGGTTTATTGGAGACTCAATAACTCAAGCTATTTATATGCACAGCCTCCTCGTTTCCTTAGCGACCTCTTTGCCTATTTCAGGCCACCTGAGAGCTTCAGTCTTTGTTAAACTGGGATTGAACAGAGCTTTACAGCAGTCTTTGTTTCTTGATCTCTCTACAGTTACATGCCTGAAAAATTTTCTTAAGTTACTGGAATACCAGTGTTTCTAAAAATGAGTCTGTGCTCCCCCTGAGAAAGACAGTGAGAGATTTACACAGCTGGTCCATGAGCACAACACAAACTCCAAACTCACGGTCCATTCTTTCTTTCTCTTTTCAATATGCAGAGGGTGGTGGGTACATATTACTTTCCCTCCAGCATTACTCACCCCACATCTGATGCCTGCGATCTGGGTGGTTTGTATGTATATTGATTCATTCTTCCATCAAATAGCAAGAGTTATTTATATACCAGTAAGTTTTTTTTTTTTGCTCAGTTGATGTTTATTTCTTTTTAAAGGTTATCTAAAACATAATTTTGTTGGGGAAAAAAGAAAAATACTTTATTGAATGTGCATAGAGCAGGCAAAGAATAATGTAAAATCTGTAATTTTTGACATTCATGGTTCCAAGAAGAACTTTTAGCTTCCATGGAAACTTTCCATTGAACAAGGTTCTTTATAGTGTATGAAGGTTCTTTGGATTTACACTAAAATAAAAATATTTTAAGATCTGTTCACTGAAAGGTTCTTTAGGAAACCAAAAATGGTTCTTCTATTGCATTGCTGCAAAACATTTTTTAAAGAGTGTAGTAGCCTAAACGTTGGGGTTCTAATTAGTGTTTATTTTGTAGAAATGACCAGATGACTACACCTTTCATGAAAATAAATTAATGAACATCAAACATATACAAGTTTTTAAATAAATGTATTATGTGACAAAAAAGAAGTGATACGAGAGTCAATAGCACTGTTATATACCGATTGTCTGAGTGAATGGTCAATTATAGGCAACTCTTTAGAAGTCACCAAAGATATTACCATAGAATGGAGCGATTGACCAATCAGAATCAATTATACAACAGAATCCCAACTGATTGGTCAGTCACTCCATTCAACTGTAAAATCTTTGTAGAGTTAGGCTGGGCATACACTGTACGGTTTTCATCTGATTTTGAGCCGAATTCTGAATCGTGCGAGTCGACTCTTTTTTGAGTCTGGGTGAATTTCAGCTTTGTTGTGCGTCATTTGTCGTGC